CAGCCCATGTCACAGCTACCGAGGAGGAGCCAGCATAAGAAGAAGCAAGAAGAGGTGACATTTGGAGAGGGGAGATGGCGTCCTTGGCCAGCCGGCTTGAGCACTTGAACAGCTGCTGTCACCGTGTACATTTACGGTTCAGCTTGCTACAGTATCTACCCAGCATCTACATCTGTAGAAGGACTACCTCCAACACGGTCAGTGACAATCAGTGGGAACCAGGGGCTTGGGCCCTCAGCAGGGTCTGCGCCACACATGTTAAGAAAACCCTCCAATGCTGTAGGTTATCCCCTTTTGAACAGGATGATGGAAAAGCAGGAAACAGACCTTCTAGAACTGCTTTCTCCAGGTAGGGAGGTGCAAATTTTACCCATATATTTCAATTGGTGAAAATGCTCTCATTTGATGCTGACTTATTGGGAATGGGGATTGTTGGATGCATTTTTTCAATAAATTATCCTCTGAATGAATTCATTTGATGTATTTAAACTTGGGAATTGATGTTTAAAAATTTAAGCCCTTAAATTCATACTTATTTTTACTTGGCACGTTTGTTATTTGGCTACAAAAATGTCTGTTTTCTTTGCCAATAATGAAAATAACACAAAAATGAAAAGGAAAAGTGAAATCAATGCAGTGAAGAAAACCAAAGGACAGAGAGACCCTCCCTGCAGCCCCACGGACAGGAGGGGGCTCCCTAAAGCCACCAGCATGCGGTCCCCACCGGTGTCACTGACAGACAAGGAGGCGCTTCACCAGACACGGAGTCAGAGGATGGTACAAAAGAACTTCTTCTCTCGGAAGGGGTTTTCTGACGCAGGCACGGGGATGATGAGAGGGTCCTCCCGGACGTGGGCCTCACAGTAGGCCAGGAGGTCGGCGGCTGCCTGGGACACCTGCGGGGACACAGCACAGGCGCGGGGTTAGGGGCCAGGTCCGTGTCCACGAGGAGAGTGGACAAGCCCGAGGCCAGGCTGTGCTGTGTGCATGGCCAACGGCAAGGCCATTCCCAGCCCGGGACAGGCTTTGTGCAGACCAGCAGACACAGGCTTTGGCACATGCCTCCGAGGACAGAGATGCTGCCCACACAGCAGATCACCATCTGGAGAAACGAGAGCCAACAGGAGGCTCCAGACATCCTTGTCCTCCTCTCACGTGAGTGATGAGTGGAGGCCCCAGACCTGCAGCCTCACAATTACTCTGCTAAACCATTTCTAGACAGACAAAGCAGAGTACTGGCCCTGGCCACGCCAGTGTGATTGTATTTATTATTACATTATTATGATGATCTTATTACAATCTACTCTCATGACCAACATGGAGTCACTTTATCCTCCTCAATACAACACGTATCATAAGCACTATAACACGTAAGTTACGTGTTATACGCACACAGGATTTAGCTCAGAATGGCCACCCCCCACGACCAGATAGCTCTTCCCCCTCCAACTTCCTTCCAGGCTTATCTGAAGCCTGCGGACATGGCACTTGTGCACGAATATCCCCCTCGCTGAAGTCCAGGAGCTCCACAGGAGCAGCTGGGCAGCACAGGGCAAGGAGCCAAGAAGCGCTTGCTAAGAGGAAGATGAAGTCCCAGTTCACTGCCCTCGCGGTCTGCGTCCTGTGCCTGGCAAGTAAATGGCCTTTGCCTGACCTCATCCTGCCAATGAGGCGTCCCGCCTGCAAGTGCTTATTAGAGGCGGCAGGCAGGGGAAAATACATCACAGTCAAATGAAAACCTTTTGGGATATTCGATGTCTAAATCTTCTCCAGAATGACAAAAACACTCCACAAGTGAATGCAACAATGTAACACCTTCAATACATAAGGACATACAAGCCACACACATTCCCTCTAGGTTTTTAAAATTGGCTCATCTTCCAAAATCTTACAAATTCTTCTTCTGATTTCCAGCCCAGACTCACCTGCTTCAGCAGTGATTGGAATCCTATGAATAATTCCAGCAGAGGTATGTCATGAATTTTCCCTCCAGTATAACAACTGAAAGTTGAGCTGACGAGTCTGCCTAAATCCTGACAGTCTACATTTGTTGGGAGTGTGAGATGGAATAAGAGGTACCATTGAGCATCAGGCTTCCAGTTCCATCTCTGCCCCTAAGCTGGCTGTGTGACCTTGGGTAAGTAACTCAACCTCCCTGAGCTTCAGTTTGCTCATCTGTAAAACTCAAGAGAGTTAGATATCTCTAGGGTCCCTTTAACTCTAAACAATCTATAATTCTACCATGGCCAGTATTTTAGATCCTACATAACTGTATGCTGGGTGGAATGGGAGTGTTTGAAGTCTGCAGGGGTTTACAGGTCACCCACACAGGAATCTCCCAGGGGCGGACCCGACCCACAGGGGACCTGTGAAGCCATCACAAGGGACTAGGGCTCAGGAGCGGGGATGTTGACTCCGAGGCCCTCGAAGCTGCGATAGGCAGAGGAGAGCGCTGTAATCACAGTGAGGACCACAGTGCATGGGCGTGGGGCCTGAGAGGTGAGCCTGCTCACAGTGTGCTTGCTGCCACCTTCTGAACCAAGGCCAAGTGCTGTCCCGACTGCCTTAATCATGACCTCCCTCCTTTCCACGCCAGGCTTCTCGTCATGTCTGGAGACCTACAGGGCCTCCTCCACAACCACCACATTAGGACGACCACTGAATTCATCTCACTGCCCCTCTGGTAACCACTGGAAACCCGTCGNCACAGAGCATGGCTCAATGCTTCCCTCCCAACAGTGCCCGTCACGATATCCGATGTTGTCTAACCTTCCAGTCACTGGATCAGGCAGGAAAACTATGATTGACCTCAATGTTAAACTCTCTTTTTTTGCTCACTGGCATGACAACAGAGCAAAATAGAGCTGTGATGACCACGAGTCTATTTCTGGAGGCTCCTTACAGAATTCATGCACACTGTGGATTCTGCATTATTTGGGTCCTTGGGCACACTCAGGACGCTGAAGCAAACACTCGTTTGCAAATGTTACAGATGCCAAAGTTGGCTGGATGCTCTATTGGGTGAGGCAGTAACTCCCTCAAGGCTGCCTTGAAAATGGGAGGACTGCTCTGAGCGGGGCTTTGGGGCAGAGGGTCAGGCCACCTGGTGGTGCTTACCTTCACCCGGTCCATGCAGGCTTCCATCTTCAGTTGCTCCACAGCCTTCCTGGCCTGGGAGATGCTGGTGGTGCTGCTACTGGACATGCCTTCCTTCATCCTGCGGCCCCTGAAATGACCAAGGCCAAAGAGTTGCAGGTGCTGCTCTTCTGAAGGTGAGGCACAGCCCTCCTGGGCTCTCCCCATCCCACCACCTTCTCTGTCCAGCCAGAGGGAACGGGCTGTGAGCACACCCTCCCAGGATAAGAAAAAGGAGTGCTCACTAGAGTGTGATGCTTTTGTCTGGAAAGACTTTCTCAGCCCGGGGAGAGGGAGTAGAAGGTAAGAGATGGGCCCAGAGTTACATTACTGGCCCCACGACCAGAAGGCACACCTTGTCATTTGTGTAGTGCTTTGTGAGTAACAAGTCATTTTCCAATACATCTGCTCATTCATTCCTCTAGCAGCTCATGAAATTGGCAAAACATATTAAGTTCTTTTTTGTAAGGAAAGCACGAAACCCAGAGAAATTAAGCCAGCAGTGAAAGGTCCCACAGCTAAAATTTGTGCACCCAGAATCCAAGCTCAGAGCTTGAAAGCCAAGCTCAGGGTCCTCCCCACTGTCTCACATGGCCTCGCTCAGCCAGCTGCAGCGCTAAGCACACTTCCCATGAATATAAGTGCTTTATTATTAATTTAAAATTTGCTGTCACTCCAAAAAGTTCACAGACTTTGTGTTGGGAGCTTGTCTTTAAACAACAGCATGTACACACACACACACACACACACCTGCCCCACCCAAGCACAGATTTGCTTTTTTAGAAGAGGGAAGAACTTCTCTCTGACAAAATACTTAATGACGCCACACGAGTAAGAAAATACCACTGTGGTGATAACCTTCTGGTCACGTCGTGCGTCTGGTGCCTCCTCCTCAGCACGTGACAGTATATTTCTGTCTTCTTATCACCTGAAACCGCCACCACCACCAACACAGAAAAACCTCCTGCTGGCAGTTCCCACTCGCTCAGGAAGGAGGTGGAGAGGTCAGCACAATGCCCGAGAAACTAAACGCAGAGATGCTGAGAGTACAGACGGAAGGCGCTTTCCCGCCGGTCGAGGGGATGAGAACCTGCCCCACTTCACTGAGCCCTCTGCTCGCTGCTGCTCGGGGAACCCATGCCCCATTTCTAGGATGTCACTCCTATTGCCACCAGTGACCCGCACGCTGTGTCACNTCTAAGTAACATTCTTAAAGCCACTTTCCGGATGAGGAAACTGAAGCACAAAAGTTAAGAAACTTGCCCAAGATCACGTATCCAGTCAGAGGGAAAGCCAGACTTTGAAGCTAAGCGTTCGGGCCACAGACTCTCTAGGCTACAGTAGCCTGATTAATTGATAATGAAAACCAGAACTGCTGAGTGCTGGAATGCTCTCGTGTGCTAGGCCAGTGGACCTGCTACCTGGGAACTCACATGACCAGAAGAGCGTTGCACCTGGAGTTTCCTAGGACATTTCATTTACTCCAGGGACAGTCTGGTCAAGGAAACCCTGACAGGTAAGTCTCCTCAGCTACTCCCCGCTTCCTCTCCCCTCCGCCCTGGGAAGCGCTTGGTGGACCCTGCCAATGTCACCTCCAAGGCTCCTCCCGCTAGGCTGTGACCTACACACTGTTAAAGTATTTAAAGAAGGAGGCCCCAACTGAGGCGGCTCTAATGCAGCGACAGCCAAGTAAGCTGAGGCCTGAGCCAGAGTCAGTGTGCTCCCTGGAACCTGGGAAAAAGAAACTTCAGAGCAACCAATCACAGACAACTAGGCTTTCCCAAGCAAGGCAACCATGTAAGCCATAACCAATCAAATAATTGCTTTGTTTTGCTTCAGTGTCTTCTCTGTGAAAAGCTTTCTTCTGCCTCCAGGCAGTAGAGTGCCCCTAACCACCGTTGGTTTTGTGCTGCCCAATTCCAACTGATGTATGCGCAAATAAACTGGTGAAAAATGTTAGTGTGCCTCAGTTTACTTTGTACCAGCATGATCCAGCTGGTTCAAAGTTGGCTTGCTAAATTATAATTACGGCTTCCTTCCCCTTGATCAGTTTACCTGTTCAGATGCTTGTAGGTGGGTGGAATTGACTCGTTTAATTTTCTGAGAGCAGCCGCCAGGGGGCGCTTCAACAGGGGCTGCTGCACCATCAATCTGTGAGTCCATCAATCAGTACTGGGCAATAAGGAGGGGGCTCAAACAATGTGGCCTTGAGGGACCGCCTGGTGGAGCAAAGATGGGGCTGTGCCCTACTCCTGTCTCACATCAGTGTATCTGCATCCCCTGCAGCCCCGTGTCTGCCACACCCTAACACCTGTGCTGTTTGTGTCTGGCCTTGCTGGTTCCAGACATGTCTAATCAAGGGATAGTCTGTCACCTCCAAAGGTCAGACTGCATTTGCTGCCAGTTTTTCTTTCAAGAAAACCAGCTGCTCTCAGCTTGCTTCCTGCGGCTGTTGTTTCAGGATCACAGATGTGTTTGCTTAGTTATAACCACACTCCTCATCCTGTCCCTGCACCTATACAGCAGGTACAAACACATAACGAACTCTCAAGCGCCCAGTTGAAAAGTGTGGGTTTGGGTCGCTTCCATGCAATACCGATTTCCTCTATGTGCTCAGAATATTGAAAGAACGTGGCAAAGGATGACCTAAGAGCGTGGAAGCCACCATACAACAAAAGAGTCAAGCTGTCAAGAGTCCACCTCAGCTGCCAGCCCCTCATCTCAGAGTGTCCCATGTCCCTTTATTCCTGTATAACCTCAGAATCTTGCATGACCCCTGAAGTTTGTTGTAATATGATCTGCAGAATCCATGGAATGAGCACCTTAAGGAGCCTCACAGTTTGGCGTCCGGGTCTTAATTAACCTAAACCTGCTCTTAGGTTCAGTGGGAGGGTTTTCTTAATCAGCTCTAGGCTGATTATTATGGTTGAGAGTTTCCTTCAACACATATAAAATAGGGGTTGCAGACACTGCCAAATCCCGTAAAACATCTGCCATCTTAGAAACATAAAACAGACGGCTCATGTTCAAAGAGAAAATTTTATTCTGGTTGGGAATTTAACTCCTTACTATGAAGGCTTTCTCATCAACTCTCAAGTCTGCTTTATCTCAAGTCCTCTGTTAGGAAGTGTTGGACCATCTCTGCCTCCTCTCCTCAGTACTGAACTGTTAAGAGTTACAAGATAACAGATGTTGAAAAGAATCGGAACAGAGAAAAGAATCGGCAGCCTGGGAACAACTGTGGAATTTTACCATTACATTTCAGAGGAAAAGAGGTGATTAAAACAGCCCAAGTTAGCACATAATCCCGGTAGTTGCACTATAATTACAAGCTCCAATGATGGGAGAAAATGTTGCAATTACTATAGTCACATTCCACAACAAGACAGATGACATAATTACTATTCTGGCTGTGACACCCACTGCATTTATCCTTGGCATCTGAAGTGAGCGTCTCACACCTATTTCTCAGCACTCCTGGCCTATTGAACAATACTACTTTGAATCAATTACAAGCATCTTTGGTGTCTGTTCCTCCCTCCATCCCAAGGAAACAAAGCAGGATTACAGTTGAGAGCAC